CCTTTGCGCACAGGGTAGGTCACGTGGGCGCACAGGGTAGGGAAAGGTCGCGGTAAACCACGTGACTCATCCTCGGCTCTGGTCGGAAGAAGGTGCCCTAAGCTATCTGGCCGATAGTAGGCTGGGAGCATTCAATTTCAAAAGTCTGTCTTTTTGTCACATTTTCACATAGTATGTTGAATCAACCCTATCCTATCCCATACCGATAGTCATGGAGCAAAAATTCAATGCCGCTTTGCCGTACGAACGCCGTGAAAAACTACGTGCCTCCCGCCGCCGGCAGTGGTGTCAGCCATTTTTGAAATTTCCGAGCGCTCGCGAACACTTCCGACTTCTTCCGACCAGAGCCGAGGATGAGTCACGTGGTTTACCGCGACCTTTCCCTACCCTGTGCGCCCACGTGACCTACCCTGTGCGCAAAGGATCATGGGAATGTGCAACTCGTGAATGGCATATTTATTACAGTTGTTTCGATTTTTACAAAATCAGAAATGGTGGATAGGGTAGCTCTTCAAGCTGTACATCTAAAGAGAGAGAGAGGGTCCTCCACAAAAGCTAAATTAAATTTGGCATGAAAATACATGTACTGCAATATCACCCTTCCAGTTGCCTGGCAAGCTGCAATATAATGTAAGGGGAGTAAGGGTAAGGGGAGGAGGCTTCATACGTGGTACATGTAGGCTTTGCCAGGCTATGTATGGCTAATGAGAATAGTATAATTGCTTATGTGACAAGCCTGGGTTGTACAATGTACACTGTCGTGTTACCGGGGCCCACACAGGCCAGCTACTTGGCAAATATTATGGACTGGCTACCCATTTGTTTTGAAGATCAATATAAACATTCAAGTTACTACACATAACAGAAACCACCTCAGGGTCTCTAACAGAAACTTGAGGGTGTATAGGCCTTTTCTGAGCCAGTAGACAGGGCTTTATCCAGCAACCATTTTTTCTTTCAATTGTAGGAACTTCTGTGGCGTGTGACAGAAAACTTTTTGATGATGGACAAAATTGACGAAAATCTTGGGCAAAAATTAAAAACATCTTAAGAACTACCAAAAGCCCCATGATTTGCCTATCAAAATGTGGGAAATTGCATTTTTAAAGACTTTAAAATACAAAATTTCCCCCTCGACCTCCCCTAGTTGGCACTCTCCCCACATCCGATCATGAACCTGGGCTGATGGAAAAAAATTCTGAGCTGGCTAAAGCCCTGCGAGTAGGTCATTTTAACTTAGACTGCTTATACATAGTATTCATCTGTCCATATGATATTTACTGAACTTTGCTACAGCCATAAAGCCAGAGTCCTGGCAACCCCTAGAAGACCCTCAGACCCTGTTGAATGGCTGTGTTCCACTTCCTACAGGTCCTGTAATGAAATGTGGACGTCCCCTGGGCAAGTAGGTTCCTTTTGCAAAAATGTGATTTGGTTCAACTCTGTATGATCAGGATGTAATTGGAAGGTTACCCATTACCATGTCATTGACCTATATTACATTTGAAACTGTAGATTTTCTTTCCCAGTGGTTCACTGATGTACTAATTCTGCACTGTTTGCCTTCTGCTCAGGAGATTCAGTGGGGATTTGGGGTTTGAAGTGTTTCCTGTTATGTAACTACATGGTTAACAAAATATTTACTCTCCACCTTAGTGGGTCTAATGCACTTCAAAGTGAAGGAAACTTCACTTACTTGCGTGGACGGTGGTTCGTATGGTCTGGGGTCAAGTGAACTGTGCCACCCCTTGCTGACCCCCCCTTGCTAGCCTGGCTAACTCCTTGCAGGCCAGCTGCAACTGCAAGTTCCTGTTGGATCTTATCTTCAAGCAGATGTTAGAAGGAAAAAAGTATCTATTATTTGTCTGAGCCTGAGGTGCCAGTTAAAGCGCTAGTTGAAGTTAAGGTAGCTATGACTTGCGTTTTTAGGAAAGTAAAACAGGTAACCAATATTGTTTTCAATATGTGTGTTGGGTTCTCAAGTATTCATAGGACTGCATACTTTGCACATGTACTGTAGCTCTATGTCCTCATCCAAAAGGATGAATGCACTCCTAACAACTGCCAAGCTGGGTTGGATCCTGTACTCTCTGGATCCATGGAATTCGATCTATATGGAGAAAGGATGGAGGATGGCTTACTGCATGTGCCACAGGGACAAGGCTACATCTAAACACATTCAAAATTGGACTTGATGTTATAGAGCTGAATGCAGTTATAAATCTCATACTCAAGGTGTACCCGCTGTAATTAGTTTCAACATTTAGGTAAACGTTCTTTCACATTTTGAACATTAATGGCTTTCCTAACCTAGTTACACTACTTCCCTGAAAGAAATGATTGTTCCCTCAAATACCGTACAATCTAATTGGTGCATCCTTGCAGGAGTCACCTTGATGTGTTGTAATTCAAAATCAAGTCTTTCTTTCGATCCCTAATGGTCCTGATCCTCTCAGGGAAGGAACATGTATATCTAATAAATAAGTCTCACTGGAGGCAATTTGGACAGGCAGGGTTACTCACCTCTGTGGAGTTAATCTTGGAGGGATTTAATTTCCTACTTAAGGCTTTATCATCAAT